CCCATATAAATATTGTATAATAATGCATTGTACTTTCTATTTAGTGAATTTTAATTCCTATTTAGTTTAAACTTTAGTTTGTTTAATATTTTATAATTTCCGTAAGCTTTTGGGTAAAGCTTTCCTATCAATATTCAATAATTTTTGTTTCATTAAAGTTTTTAAGATAAGCTCTCCTAGTAATATTGTCCTAGTTATGGGGTTTTAAAAAATATCGATTTAAAATGTTGCAATTTAGTTCAAGGTGTTGCTTGCGAAGCTTTTCTAAAGCTTTTGGGAAAAGCTTTCCAAATGATATGATCCAGGTTATAAAGATGACGCATATAACTTTTCTATCTTGAGAGTATGAAAGCTTATTTAAGTTCATTTTGATGAAAGCTTTACGTATATGTATATAAAAACAACCCTAGTAGGCGCTATTCCAATAAATACACAAAGCTAAATTACAAGCGAACGTTACTCTATGATTACTTTTTATTTAATTTCCATAATGAAGAACCACCCTAATAAAAACAAACATAAAAACACATGTATAGTCCTTTGACTTGCAACAATTAAACGCACATGTTTTAAAAAGAGTTTCATGTTGCAGACAGCAATTAAAGACTCATGTCATCATGTCACTAAAATAAGTCAAGCAAAACTTTTTCTATAACAAAATACGGGGAATATATTCATAATGATTTTATGAAAAACAAAAAACATTAAAAAGAAAATAAACTAACAAATCGGTTCATATTTAAAGAAAGCCACAAAAACGGAAATGTAGCTTTGAATTTAAACACTTTCTTTGAATCATTCATTCATTTACTTTCTAAAGATAACTTCCCCCCTTTTATTGCAAAAAAAATCATCCTTATGATATGAATCTACTTATAGAAAGTAATAAAAGTTAATAAAGATATTCTCATATGAACACTCTCTGAAATATTTTCCAACTTAAAAAAAGTCAAAGTCTAGAAACTTTTGACTTTGATAACACTCGCACACAGACACTTGGAAAAATACATTCCAAAGAATATTAACACTTGTCTTGTGTGTTAAATAAATACACACTTCTCTTCATACTTACAGCAGTCGTTAGATTAAAAACATAACGAGTACATGGTTACGTATGTGTAATAAGTTGAATCGAAATGAATATTATGCATAAAATTCCCAAAAGAAGTGTTAAACAACTGTTGTTGTTGTTGTTGAAACAAATAGACAAAATTTTTTAATGTATTTATAAAACAAAATAGTAGAGTGTTATAATCTTTTTAATAAACTTTTTAATTTGCATGCTACTATGAAAGTATTTTTTACAACAATAAAGGTTATACATTAGACATTTCAGCTAGTGTGTGAAGCTGCAAAGAAAATGAAGTTTTTCTAAGCAGGGAAATACTTTTGCCATAAATGTTGTTGAGCAACTTTTGCTTTACTTTGTGAAAATGTTAAGAAACTTTGAACTTTTTGTAGCCTACGCCCTTACACATGGAAAGTTTTGGAATGCCCATTGCTGCTTTACAAACATGTGCTACAGATGCTTGTTTGTGAGCGTTTGTCAAAAAAAGCATTACCATTTAGAGTTTGTCGTTTAATGACAGTAAACCGTGTAACAATTACTTTTATGATGGAAAAGTTGTATTTCCTTTTAAATGCCAAAAGTTTTCATACTTATGAATTCATTATTAATAAAATATTTGGCAATATACAGAAGTGATATAATAAAATCGTTTGCATATAATGAGCATATATGTATGTATGTACATATATGTACATATGTATGTATATGTAAGTGAAGAAGAGATAAATGTATAGAGAAGAAACTCCAAAAGTTTAAGTTTTGAGTAAAACTCTTTTGTAACTTTGGTAATAGGCTTCTAAATGGAAAAGGAACATAATTTTGTAAAAAAAGCATACTTTAACTTTCGCTTACAAATAACTAAGTAAATAAGTACTTACAAATAAGAAGTTAAACAATTTGCTCACATAGAAAACTAACCAGGGCTTTTTATTCGTTAGTTCACAGTCGCACAGACTGGCCTTGATATCTGAAAACCTGGTCAAAATTATTAGAAGTGTTTTTTTGAGTTAATGGCTGGATTTTGTTGATAGTTTTAGTATTAATTAGGCCCAAAGAAGTACCCAACAGATTATGTTTAAAATGGATTCGTGATTTCGCCTAGCCTCCATACGAATTCCCCATCGAAATTTATTATTATACACATAACTATGATAATTATGCAATTATCATGATCAAATTAAGCACGGACCAGTTTTGTGTACTCAAAAATCATGAAGTAAAGTTTAGAAATTCACTTTAAGGCTCATAAATTGCTTAAAAACATTGATATCGCAATTCGGCATGATCGGTCGCTCCATAATTGCCTCTAGGTCCCGAATAAACCCTTTAAGAAAATCAGTTTAATAGACTTAAAAACAGTTTAGTATCATGATAAAATTCGACGTGAATGATTTTTATATAAATTTAAAGTATTTTACCTAATTTTATTGTGATCAGTCCATAATTTCCCCCCGTACCCACATAAGGTCTCCATCTTTTTTGTAAAAAGTTTCTAAAAACCAGTTTTAATTTGTGAATAAATTCTAGCTATGATAATATTTGTAATTATAAAAAGATAAAATTAAAAAAAAAAAAAACGCAAAAATAACTGCACAAATTTGCGCAAACTATTTGTCTTGTATCTGAAAATAGAGATTTCATATTTTATTGTTGGATATAAAAATTTTTGAACGCCTGCTATTTTTAGTTTTAAAAGACTTTTCTATTTTTTTGGTAAAAAAGTGTAAATTTTCAAATTTTTCAAATAAAGTCAAACTTTCAAAAAATCGTCAAAAATATTTGCGCAAAAATAATTGTGCAAATTTGCGCAAACTTTTTTTGTTTCTGAAAATAGATATTTCATATTTTATTGCTGGATATAACAATTTTTGAACACTTCTTACTAATGTAATAATTGTGCAAATTTGCACAATTGTTTCTGAAAATGGAGATTTCATCTTTTATTGCTGGATATAACAATTTTCGAACAATTGTTACTTTCAGTTGTAAAACTCTTATTTATTTTTTTTGGTTAAAAAGGGGTAAATTTTTTAAAATTTCCAAAAAGTGAAATTTTCAAAAAATATTTGCACAAATTTAAAAAAAAAATTTTAATATAATCCAAAAAACATACTCCATTTAACATTGTAATGTCCTAGGTGAGGACCGTTTAATCCATCCGTGACATCAGAGTAATCCCAAAACTATTCCCTTGCTAAAATTATGGGAGTACATGATTCGCAACATGGTCCTATGTAATGTAAACTATAGACCAGGTTGTTATCAAAAAACTAAACATGATTCATGCCTGCATTACATAGGACTACTGAACGGATCATGTACTCCAATAATGTTTACAGAGGAGTACTTTTGGATTACCTAAATGGATCATGTACTCCAATAACCCTGCAAAAATTTAGACTACTCCGCACACGCGTATAAGGAGTACCCCTCAAATGACTAGGACTGTTCCAAAACTAATCCAAATATATGGAAAATCATCCATTTCAGGGTGGGGGGTAATGATTACATTTTCAATTACATTTGATTACAATTACATTAATTGTAATTGAAGCTTGACCAATTACAATTACTTGTAATGGTAATTGAAGTTTTGCCAATTACAATTACTTGTAATTGTAATTGAAGTTTTGCCAATTACAATTACTTGTAATTGTAATTGAAGAATTCCCAATTACAATTACTTGTAATTGTGAATTTTGTTCCTTATAATTACATGTAATTTGTAATTAGCAATACCTTAATGACAATTACAAGTAATTTTAATTGGAAACTTCAATTACAAGTACATAATTGTAATTGGCAAAACTCCAATTACAATTACAAGTAATTGTAATTCGTTATTGGTCAATTACTCATTACAAATATTTGTAATTGAAAAACTTCAATTACAGTTACAAGTATATAATTGGTTATTGCTCAATTACACATTACAAGTAATTGTAATTTGACCATGTCATGAATTACTTTGCGTAATCATTACCCCCCATGCCTGCTTCATTTAACATTGTGATGTTCTAGGTGAGGATCCATATGTGTATTACATCAGATTAATTCCAAAACAACTATCTTGCTAAAATTATGGGAGTAAATAATCCGCAACATGATCCTGCAGGCTATGATATAGAACCATAACCATAAACATATTTATTAAAATATACATCATTACAACGAACAATTTTAAAATTTCAAAAAACTGTACTCAATCGTACAGATTTTGACTTCGAATTTTGTCTACTTAACACCTGCATAGACAAAACTCTCTCGCCGTATAAAGGATCAATTGTAACCAGGCTTTGAGACTTTTCCGTACCCGGATTACTTTTTCTCCTGTTGCTGTTTCTTTTGTGAGTTTTTCATAGCCGATACAATATAAGCGTCGGGTTTTGGAAATATACTAGAACTGGTATAATTCGTAAGAATACCATGACTATCCAATTTCAATTGATTTTTCTTAAAAGGCACTTTGTCGGGAAACACGTGAACCGAAGGAGCAGCAGCTGCAAATTATAATAAATTATTAGTACTCGACTATTAAATATCTTCTCTAAAAACCACTTACCATATAATTATTAGCCTTTAATCTATCCATTTTTTCTAAAATTGTTGGTTCTCTTTGCAAATTATAGCAAAAACATTTATCACCTGTTCTCATCACTGGTTTTTGTGGACTGAACTTGTTTTCTTAATACCAATTCCTTAGGGCCGCGCCCCACAGGACAAACATGAGTTTTTTGTCTTCTATCAGCATCTAGGTTTTAAGGTTATGACATTTTCTGATTCTTTTTGCCAAATTCTTTAGAAATTCTTTAATTTCAGCATATCTCTTTGCTCTAAAATTTCTTCATAGCCGGCAAAGTGACCCGATCTAATTTACAGTTTAACATTTCTTGCGTCTCCAACATAGCTTCACGAAAACCATTGTTCATTTTTATCTAAAGAGCAGCGTATTTTCTTCAATATCATTTACTATATATTCAATACATTTCTGCTTTCCTGAGGCCTTATTGGCCATCTGCTTGATTTCCTTTAACTTATCGATCATGCTGTCGATTTTAGACTCAAATTCTTTTAAACGTTCCACCATAACTGATGAAACACGTCTCCTTAAGCCCACATTGAAAACAGAATTTCCGGCCATCAAACATAATTCCTTATTGTGTTCCATATAAAGAGTGCACAAATCTTCATTGGCGGCCGCATATAGATCCCAATGTGTAGGATCAAAAACATCCGTTCTAAAACATATACGTATTTCTTCGAAATGTTCTTCGATTTTGTCATCAATTTCTTGTGTTTTATTTTCCAGTTTTTCTAAAAGTTTCCATTTTTCTTCATAACCTTTAATTGTTGTCAATTGAAAATCATATTTTCCTTTGCTTGCGGTTTCTTTTAATAACTTCT